AGAAGCTGAAGCCATCCCAACGCGGGTACAGATTGTTGGATATGACGTACGGCTTAAAGCCGGCCAACCCTTTGGCCAGTTGTTGGTCGGTTGGGCTCATTATCGCTCCGACGAAGTAATCGATGAGCGATACGATTAGTGTGCAGAAGAAGAACATCAGTGTCTGAAGAGATAAATATTTCAATGGTTTTTGACATTTAGTTGATATAACTTATCAGTGACATTTATATAATGGTTACATAATAACATAAATTGTATCATTCTATAGGTGAGTGTTGGGTGTACTAGGTAATCTAATTAACGAGGATCTAAATAGACTCATCTCATAGTTTATAAGTGCAATGAGATATAATATTATTGTTTGATTTTTGAGTAATATTTTAATTGGTGTTACTTTTCATAAGGATTCACTTCAAGAATAGGCTCACTCAAGATATCCAGCTACTAATCCGCATGAAATAGCACTTAACTTAAAAATACAGTAACGATAATCTTATAATAATGATTACTTATACCGTATGTCTACTGTTTTGCGAGATAACTCCAAACTTGAAACAACTTTCATATCTACTGTTTTATATTACAAAATACTTTTTTTAAACTTATTATAACTTTCTTACTTTGGCTTCAAATTCCAGACTAATCAACGGTATGATAGCAATAATGATAAGACATATGTAGCCGACAATCCTTTGATCATTCTCTGGCGAACCACAGATAGTGATATCAAAGACCTGTTAATTAATAGCGAAATAATTACTGAAATATATATTCAGAGATTGTCTCCATAAGCGATCCGTACTTTGAAGATATCTGAGACACTTTCGGCTGTCCCTAAGAGGTTGAGTCCAACGAACGCCGCGTTTGTGAACGTAAACAGAAAGCCGATGACACCGCCCGCCTCGTGGCCCACGCTCCTGGATATCATGGCGTATATACCGCCCCCACCTATAATGCCATTCGTGCACAGGGCTATCATGGACAGTGTGGTCACTATTGTGATGATCGTGGCCACTCCTATCATGGCTAATGACAACACTAATAACGCAAAGAATATTCCGTTATAAAGAATAGTTAAGACATTTGTTTTGATGCATGCAATAGCCTTACAAATGCCCGCCTGTCCCGCCATCCAACCCATCCTAAGAAATAGCATAACCCCGAAGAGGTTCATCATTGTCCGTATCTATCCATCAATGGATATATGGTATCAAATGAAAGAAGCAAATGAGTGACATTTGTTTTTTTTGCCATTCATATATGGTAGACATACATATACACCATCGACCCAGCCCAGTTTGGTAGCCGTTCCAACATTTTCATTATCCCTGAGTTGCTCGCTATTAGTCTATTCATACAAATATGATGATAAGAATTGTCAAAATCTGTCACAAATGCAAGTTTTTTGTGGTTGTATTGTGTTTACTAATCCATTAGTTGAGACACATGTAGGAAAATTTATACTATCTATACGTGTGTGTGATTGACAGTTGTATTAATAATATTATTGTAATAAATTTTAGGGGAATAACCAGAGGAATGGATTATTTCTATTAATCATATATTACATTAGTATTTTGGTAACACATACCCGCCCCCAGTACTGACCTACAAACTTTCCATTGACGTACGAGAAATATTTAATTTGTGTTTTTTGAGTAAAAATTTTTATAACAAAAATAAAACTTTTATTCATTAAAATCGCTTAATATCTCTCGGAAATGTGTATCAACTTTCCCCTCCCATAGCGTTCAGATATATATTTGTGTCAAAAATTGATTTAATAATCCCAACAAATGTTCCCAATGTTTAAGTCTATCTAAACTTAACTTAAGTTCATTGTGTATAATAATGTAGTAATATGATTTAATAAATTTTTAAAAAACATTTGTTACAAATTAAAATTATTTGCTACCTTATTTAATAAACTTACACACAAATTAGATTATAATATCATAACTAGAATAACTATTTGGTCAGAAAATATAGTTATAACTTTTAATTTAATTACTAGTAATAGGACACATGATTTGAAAACTTAAATTAGTATTCATAAAATTTATTATCATTCCTAGAATTCATTAAATATTAAATATTAACAGTATATTGAGTAGAAAAGTATCTATCATTTAATCATAACATTAACTAACTTGTGATAGAGAATTGTGCGGCAAATGGAGTTCCTCGATGTCCGGCCTCTTAGCCTTTTTGCTGAGAGTGTTATAACTCCTATAAAACTCGATTTTGGGAAAGACCTCGGTGTTTGATATAACCGACTCCCGTCTGTCGTGACTCTTAAAAAGTAGTCTCAAAATACTGGACTTCCGTCGCGTGTGTCCACCACTCGTCTGATTCGAGTTCTCGTCGATTGTATTGAACTGCGGGTTATCGTAAGCACCGGTACCCGAGATCTTGAACTTGGAAGGCATGTCTTCCCCTCATAAACACAATTCACGCACAAGTATTAAAAAAAGTTGTAAAACTTTTGATAACTTTTAAAACTTTGTATAAGTTTGCGATAACTTTTACTAAGACTTTGCGACAAAGTTTTTAAATTAAAAACTATTTGAACGCAACTCTTATGAGAAGTTAACGTTAAGTCTATAATAACAAGCGTATTATAATTCAAATGAAAGCCAAATCGTATAATAATTTTAATGAAATGAATTAAAAAGCACTCGAAGTTTGGATTTACGTATTAATTATTGATAGAAATGTTTGATTAAAAAAACTTTTTTTCATTATAAGCGACATAATTATATTATCAAAAATAGCATTGTATGCCAAACCCTATGACTGAACGCAAGTACAGACAATACTGTCTTAATGTCTTATCTCGACTTTATTTTAGACTCATTGACAAAAGGAAATGTAATTTTGATTTCAAAAACTAATGCTTTTTATACTGTTTTTATTTAATATGTATTTTATAACTCCTTTCCCGAGAAATGTGTGTTTATTTGAAGCAATATGTACAGAAATAAAATGATCTCATTTTCACCATTAAAAATACAGCACTTTTCAGATAAGTTTTGGTTAAAACTGGAAAATGTTTAAAAGTTTTGTTTCCTATTTTGTTGACAAACATTGCATAGAGTCTATATGCCATAGACTATAAGCGGATCTTAAAAAAGTTTTTGACACTCATTTATATTATAGTTATTAATTTACGACTTTTAATGCTATACTTTATCGCGACTTTAACTATACTTACAGTTATGTTACCCAATAGTATTTTTTACTAAAGTTAATCCATTATTTATAATAATTTTTAGAATGATAATTATAATCCACAAATCCATTCATATAGTCGCATATATCTAAGCAAACAGGAAGTCTATAAGTAGTCGATATTGCACTTAAAATTACACTTCAAACAATGCTATTCAATAAATTTAATCACTGATATCCATAAGGTTATAAAATAACAATACTGTGTTCACTAAACATTTGATTCAACTTCTCAAACATAGTTTTAAAATAGATACCAAAAATTAATACAGTATACCGTAATAATCATAGCATACCATCACCAGTATTAATACCTTGATTGCATCCATGTCCACCACAATTGGGCATCTGTGGGCACATTCTCTGCGATCCAGCGAGTTATCAAGATAAGACATATCGATACCATTACATAGTATCATTTCAAACGTTACCCCTAAAATATTTGTAGACAATACAGTTGGCTAAGTAATGGTTATTGTTATCATTTGTATTAATTAATCGACAGTTAAGTAACGGCTTGTAATTTAATGTCCATTTAATGAGAACCAATGGTTCATAATGTTAGGAAAATAGGTTTTTTAATCTAGAATATATCAAACATTTGAAATTTATTAGATTGTGAAACACACATATAGGTAATCAATTATCAAATTACACATTTTATATCACTAAATATATTCATTCATAATAAAAAACAATTCTTAAAAGTATTGATTCAAAAACAATTCAGAGAATTATATAAAAAAATTATTTCAATTAAAAAAACAGATGAGAAAGCGATACAATATACCGGTATTATTGCTATCAATAGTTTCGTAATGCAATCATAAGACTAATTAAAAAATAACTATTTTGAGTAAAAAACATTAGAAATCAAACAAATTATATTCATATCAATTGAACGATTCATAAATGATTAAACACACAATCGGACAGTTAGTCTCTTAAATGGCGGTACTTTTCCAGAAACAGATAATATTCTTATTGGTGGTCCCGATTACATACTTCTTATCGTTGGATATGCTGACGGAACGCATTATTATTGGCTAAAAAACACACAAAAAACAAAAATAAATAAATACAAAATCACAACAAAAACCAAACCAATCGACACAACACATACCGCGCTCATAGTGGACGGCCACTTGTCGGTCGCGTCCAGCGTTTCCAACGGATCCAAATTAGCCGTTTTGAACAGTTGCGCGGCGCCGTAGACGAGCACCT